CACCCGTGTGAGGACAGGCCCAAGCTGGGTGTGCACTTGCAGGGGAGGGGGCGCTTCTGCCGGAAGCAGCTGCCACTGCTGCTCAGTCCTCAAGGGCTGGGCGCTGTTGTCCAGGCTCAGCCGGACGGCACAGAGCGTACTTGGAGTATGCGTGCATTTCTGCAAATACTCGCCAGAGCTGGTGCTGGTAGGCCCATCCTGATGAGAGAACCTCCTGAAAAGCCACATGAAAACCTGGGACTTGGCCTGGGGGCGCCAGGCTCAGCACTTCTGGGGCTGGTTTCCACTTGAGATGCCTGGAAGAGATGCAGCCGGCAGCCTCAGCCTCCTTAAGAGCTTTTTTGGCCACACAGCCTTGGCTTCTAACTGCTCCCCTGGCAAGGGGAAGACCCAGGTGAGGGCAGCTGGACACCCAGCCAGCCCCCTGGGCAGCTTGCCCTGTGTGTGTGCATGTGGTGTCCACAGGGCTCCTGCAGGCCGTTTTGAGGGTAACAGGGGCAGGGACACTAAACATCTGGTGGTGTGTGCTGAGAAGAGGGCCTTTTCTGCAGTGCCTGTGGCACAGCACTGCAGGGTGAGTCTGGGCTAGAGCCACCCCCACCCCTGAATCACAAAGCCTTCCCTGCAGCTGCAGGGAGACCCCACAGGGCTGGAGCCGGGCCTCACACAAGGACGCCTGCAGGGGCAGAGGACAGCTTCGCTGGGTGTTCCCACGTGTGAGCTGTCATCTGGGTCCTCCTCACCGTCCCTCTAACCACAGGGCGTGCAGCGCATCGATGAGCCCGGCCTGCGGAGTCTGCGCACTGCACGGCACCTGGAGCCACGCATGGTGCTGACCGTGGAGCCAGGCATTTACTTCATCGACCACCTCCTGGACGAGGCCCTGGCTGACCCGTCACGCGCCTGCTTCTTTAACCTCGAAGTCCTGCAGCGCTTCCGTGGGTTTGGTGGGGTAGGTATCGATCGACAGGCCCTGTGTCCTTGCTCCCAGAATGCTCCCCATATTACTGTGTGCCACTTTGTCCCAGGACAGGGGCCCTAGTGGGAGGAGGGACAGTCCTGACTTTCTCACTTGAGAAGGGCTCAGCCTGCCCTTTCTTGTGGTCTGGCATTGGATAGGTGCCTCACCCCTCAACAGAGGAGACACAGATTCTACAAAACCCCTGCCCACTCCAGGGGTTCCTATCCACCTGGCAGGGCACAAGAGGCAAGGAGAGGGTGGGCAGGCGGCATGCACACGTGGCTCCATGGGATGAGCCTTCCTCTCCATGGTGACCCAGGTCTTGGAGGCCAGCTCCTCCCTCAGAAAGGGCTTCTCCCACTCAGTAGGGGTCAGCCTGGAGCTGTCAGGTCTGGCTTGCCCCTCTCATCTCGAGAATGAGGCCAGCTCAGACATACTAAGTCCATTGGTCTGACCCAGGTCCGGATCGAGGAGGACGTCGTGGTGACTGAGAGTGGCATGGAGCTGCTGACCTGTGTGCCCCGCACAGTGGAGGAGATTGAAGCATGCATGGCAGGCTCCGACAAGGCCTTCACTTCTATCTCTGGCCCAAAGTAGAGCCAGCCGGGAGTGCCCAGCAGCGAGAGATGGAGCTCAGAAATCATGTGCCAGCATCAAAGTTCGACCACACCAAATAGTGCTATGTCCAAGGGGGGAAAATTTTATTTTATTAACTTTCTACAAGATCATACCCTAAGCTGTTAATACTTAGCTTAAATAAGAGTAGCTTTTAAAATACTATTTGCAAAAAAAAATCCTGTTCTTTAATAGTCACTAAAATGTATCTTGTTGTCATTCATATTCTTATGCTCAGAAAAAAAACAATGTTTTTTCCTCAAAAATCAATATACAGAATGGAATTTGCAATTAAAGGTTTCCTAAAATCGTCCCTTGTGCACGTCTCTGTCCTTTACCCCTTTGCAGATGAGCGCGCACACTTAGACCTAGCCAGAGACTCCGGGCTAAAAGGTCAGGCACACGCGGAGCTGTCCCACATCACACCTCTGCACATGCTGAAAGGTGAACTGGTGGAGTAAGAAGGCTTTTTGATGTGGTTATTGCCTCAAAGCTAGATTCTGAAGGGGGCAGAATTAGGAAGCACTTGAGGCACAATTATTTAAAACATGACACTTGCAGAAATTCCTTGTCCTTGATATCCTTTTCAAGCAGGACATGCTAGCAAAGCCAATGGGTTGACAGCACCTAAGACAAAGGCAGCACTACGGCACAGGTGAGCTTTCTAGTTCCTTCCGTCTCTACTGAAACCATCTGTCTTCTGTAACTGTAAGCCCACTGACCAAATTCTGAGGCTGAGTCGTCCAAGGCTGGCTGGGCCTGGTCCTCACCAGTGGCAGAGTACCTGTCCTTACCTCTGCTTGCCCGATTCCCACATGCCCCATAGGACTGCCCCACCCCCTGGTTAGAATTCTGTGTACCATTCCAGGTTTGTCTCCACAGTGCTGTTGTCCAGGAGTTCCCCAGCCAAGTGCAGGGCAAGTAAGAAAAGACATCAGAGATGAACCATGATGTAGTGGAAAACTGTAGCCCAAGCTAGAGACATTTTGAGAAGTCATTGAAGAGTTTAATACAAATTGATTTCTTCCAATGGCAATAACACAAAAATGCTTGTGATGTGGCCACATTAAAATAAAACAATCTCAATTCCAAGAAACCATTTATCTTGTTTCTAAGATTTAAACATTCAGTTCTGCTGGTGCACAGATACATCCCCTAAGTTATTCTGACATGGAGCAGTTAAGTACTGGCTGCCTGTCTGAACGTCAGGAGTTCGAGTCTGCCCCATCTCTCTATCCCAGCTGAGCCTGATGTTTAGGGTTTCAATTTCCCCCACCCAAGGATAAACCAGTTCAAGTTAGGCTGGAGCTCCAAATCACAGGTGACAAACACAAGGCCAGTGGGCCCATTCTGGCCCTCCAACCTTGTTTTATCCAGCCCAGCACCATTTCTACCCCGCGGCAGTGCCAAGCTCTCGCTTAACTGTTAAGGAGCAGTCACATTTATACAGTCCTAAAATTACACTCGGCCCTTTGAAGGCAACCGTGAGGCTGATGCGGCCCCTGGTGAAAATGAGTTTATTGACACCCCTGCTCTAAATGAAGCATTTAGTTTTGTTAATTTAAAAAAAAAAAACTGTCTCATACATCTTTCTCCTTTAGACATTTTATACCAAAACTGCTCACTTCATATAAATGTTTTCTCTGATTTTCAAATAGACAGAAATGAACAAAGAGAAATCACAGTAACTCAGTGCTTTGATGTGACTCTGGTTTAGCCATGTTGGTAAGTTCAAGGGCATTCCATGAAGGTGCTCGTCTCAAACAGGCCAGCAGTAGCCCACTGCTCTACCCACCATTCCAAAGGAGGTAGCAGGTTCCCGTGTCTCCTCCAACCACTACAGAAATTTGTACAGCTTCAGAGATACATTAAGACCCTCCCAGAGAGCTGTCCAGCATGCTAAATACCTTTCCAAAACGCTGTAAGGGCCTACATAGCCACTTAAGAAATAACTGAGCATCTCCTATGTGCCAATGTACAGTAAAAACATGCTTTTTGCTCTCAGAACCGGTAGTCTCGAAAGGCTGCACCTTAAACATACACAAATATATCGTCTGAAACAGAGAAGGGCCAAGAAGGAAGGTAACAGGGTTCACCTTGTCTAAAAGCCAGCAGGCTAAGGAAGGGTTTAAAGTGAAAAGTGAGAGATGAGGCTACCCAAGACATAAGAACAGCTGACCTAAGGCAGCCCTGGGGTAATGAGCTTGGGAAATCCCTGCAGCCAGAGCAGCGATTGATGTGACACAGAGGATGGAAGGAAATGAAGTCAGCAAGATCAAGGGGAGCCTCACCACAAGGAGGCTGGGCCTCACCCTGTGTGCCACAGGAAACCAGAGATCTGAAGAACATGCAGTGGTCCAGGGAGATCAAGTCCAGGCAGAGAAGAGAATGGCTCCGCAGAAGGTGAGGGAGGGGAAGGGAAGCAGACAGGTAGGTACAAGAGACATTTAGAAGGTGGAACTGAACAGTAGACATGTGGAAGGGCATCTGGCTCTAACAGCTGCTTCGAAGGGAGTGGCAAGACTTGGGTATTTGGTCTGCAAAAATGTTTTAATGTGTGACAACTCCATGCTCAAGCCCAGTTCTTCAACCCCAAATTCTCTAGAAGGCTCTGTGTGACCTTCAGGCCAAGAGCTCTGAGGAGTGTGGGCACACTGTGGGAAAAGAGCATTCAGGGTTGGTGTTCTCCTTTGAGTACATGTAAAATGCATATGAACTCTTCAGACGCTCACAGGCAATGAAAGCAGTAGGTCTAAAGGTGCTTTTATTTAAAAAGAGCTGACACCTTCACAAATCATGCCTATAAAATTCCCAAGATACTGGATTCTCAATCACAACTAATTCATAAAAATGAAATGGAACAGTACTACCCATAAAAATGATTATAAGATGCAGTGAGTAGACATTTCCCAAAACATAAGCTGAAGGATCATAGAAGAAAAGCATCTAAATGGCATCTTACCTTGAAACACTCAAACCAGCTTCTTGGACTCAATATTTATGAATTTGTTTCTATAAACAGTCCAAGGCATCCTGTAAATGAAATTATTATATACATACTATAAAGTGTATCATTAGGGGGAAAGCCTCACTTTGACATTGCTACCTTATGAATAAATTTCCTACCACTCTGTAAATAGAAACCACCCTCTGAGATACTACGTATCTAAGCAGGAACACTCATTACTGCTTTCTCTAATACACATTTTTAGATTAGACCAGGTGACAGAATTATAACTAAAGAGGCACTCTATATTCACAGAAAACTATGTTCCCATCCACTAAGGGAAATCTAGACTTCCCTAGACTTGGACAAAATACCCGTTTGTCCCTCCCAGCCCCACCTCACTCCAACCCCGAGCTAGGAACAGGAGACAACTTGGACACTTTCTTGGTATCTAACATAAAGAAACCCACAATGAAATTCTGTATTCCAAAGGTTTTTTTATTTCGAATTCATTGAAAGAAATAAAATTATATTTAAAAAAATAGAGTCATCTCACAAACTGAGCAAGGCTGGAACAAAAGGAACAAGTACTTTTTCCTGAGAGGCAGATCTAACAGCTGTAGAACGGACTTTCTCCTTCCTAGCTTTTGTCAAACAAAAACAGCTTTTCCTAGTTCTAAGGCATCAAAAAGCACTGAGTGCTAAGTGGGTGGTTCAGGTTCATAGTTTCAAGTCCTCTAAAAGGGAATTAAGAAATACCAAAAACTGCTACAATTTCCTTTATTATCAAATATTAAATTGTACACACTTCTACTTTTTATGTATATTCAAGGATTTCACACTCATGACTGGTCTGTGACCATGTTCTGGTCCTATTTTATTAAAATCTTACTACTCCTTGTAAGAATGTCCAAAGTATCTGAGCTCACACCCCTAAAACTGAAAGGGGCAGACACCAGGAAGCACTGCTCTTGATCCCTCACCACTTACAGCCAAGACAAGTCAGAAAGCACCCATCCCCAAAGACTCACATACAGCTAGAAACTGATATACTAAAGCCTAGTTCCTAAACAACTGGACCTGCCAGCAAAGGCAGACCAAATCCTAATGGTTCATAAGTAACCTACAAAAGCTACAAAAACCATTTTAGTTCCCAAAGCTCTAAACTTACGCATTCCCCATACCTGATTTCCCTCAATTTTATACTGATAAATCTATCAAACTAAAAACTTCTCTTCCCAAATACTTCAGTAAGAGTCCAGACAATAGTTAACATTTTTGTCCTATGCATAAAGGACTGCTTGTGCTAAAGTTTAATTTGCAGAGGTAACAAGAAAGATTGAACCCATTTTTCCAAATTTTCAATTTCATGTTCTAATTTGAATATTGAGTACATGTTCCTGATTTCCCTAAAGCATTTTTTCTAAGACAGTTAAGTCGATTCATATAACTGGTAACCATTAATTCCACAGAGACATCAACTTCTAAAAGTTGTAGTAAGAAATTATGATGTCTGTAACACCTTTTATAGGTGCTTTAAGATTAAAATGACCCAACTGCATCTCCATTTAGGTTAATTATATAATATTGATCAGCTATTAAAGATTCAGTAGGGCCTGTGGGTATCTCCTAGTTATTTAAAACATCTATTACCAGTAGATCAACACTCCATCCAAAGTACACTGGTGTTGGACCCTAAGACAAACACCTATTCTGTCTCCTGGATTTATATTGAGTTAACCCTCCTGGGACAGTGCCTCTTATGGGACACTGGGTTCCTGTCACTTGCAGAAGAGGCTCATGGGAGGCTCATGGTCTAAATAATGCCTTCGCTGGGTTTCAGAGTGCTGTGATGTCTTCTACCCAAGAAAAGAGCACAGAGTACTCTTCCACCGACCCAAAACTACAACTTGAGTTACATGCTGGCTACATTCTCCCAGGTGCTAGTATGAAAGAGCAATATGGCCAAAAATAACTAAGTTCAAATGAGATATCCAGTAATGCAAACTTTCTATCAGATGTGACTCAGTCTCGTCACCAGCCCAGGCACACGGGCACACACGCGTGCACGCGCGCGCGCGCACACACACACACACACAAGAGAAAAACAGACACACCCCACAGAGCCCAACAAATTTTCACTAGATTTCTGCTGCTTAAAAATAAAAAGTCAACAAGGACAATCAAAACTACTGACATTGATATAAATCAGACTAGCGATTCCTGACTTTAGTGATTGCCATTTTTTTAGTCTCAATAAAAATGTCAATATCCTGAGTTTTACCAATATTTTCTTCCTACAATAATTTATGGGATATAAAAGCATACACATAACAGAAACAGTGGTACAAAAAATCTGGAAGAACAGCCCACTAACTAGAAAAAGAAGTATCACAAAAATATTAAAAGATGTGTTTAAGTGAAATAAATTAAAGGCTAAACCTTACACTTTCAAGTTTTCTTATACTATTATTTTGGAAGTTGATGATGCCCTTTTCTAATAATCACTTGATTAAATTCAAACACCACATAGTCCTTCATAAGAAATTTCCGTCTTTCAAACTCCTGGCCATGGGGGCAGGTATTTGAACACAGGAGAAACTACCTGCTGAACTGATATTCCAAACCCTGATCAGTAGCTCATGTGACCAAACTATTAAAACATTTTGTTTACTAATTTGGCTGTCAAAATGGTATTTTTTAAATGCTTACTTTATTAGCATCTGCAGAAACTAAAATTTTGGTAGTTTCTTTAAACTACTGAGTGGTTTGGGCTTTTTTCTTTTTTAAGGATACAAAAAATGCCAATCCAATGACCCAAAGGTATCCTAAAAACATAATTCTAATATGTTTTACTTTTATTTTTTAAAAACCTATTTGCTTCATAAGTATTATTTACGTTTTTAAGCCAAATGGCTGCAAACTGCCATATTTTGCCAAAAATACAATGGGTTCTTTACTTAACCTGACATCGCTACTCAAAAATTTGTCCTTGTGGGGGAAACAATACTCATTATTATGCTAAACCAAGGTTTATGCTATACATAAAATCACTCCACATTACAAAGTGATTGGTTTCTACAGCCCTAAGGATTTTTAATACATAATTTAGAATAAAATCACAAATAGATTAACACAGACAACACTTTTTCTTAATCCAATTAACCATGTCCATTAAAACCAAGAAACTTCTGCATGACCTGCAGTTCCTCATTCCTTTTGTCAACCTGAAAAAGAAGCTTTTCTTGAGAAGTCAGGATTTATTAAGAATATCCAGGTCTGGGACTTTTTACCATATACCTTAAAAATTCATTTCTTTATCCCAATAACATTTAAAACCTGAAATTTGAATTACATGGCTAACATTTTTAGTTAATCAATTCTTCAGTGCTGATCCTAGAAAACAACCTTCAGTGGATCTTTGACTAAGGAACAAGACAATGTTCAATCATTGATATGAGTGATTTAGGTTGTTACACCTTTAATGTTCAAGCCACAAGGTGTGGAGTTTGGAAGGGGTGTGGTCTACTGTCCTGCATTATCAGAATTTGTCATATTTTCAGTGCTACTGGGTTGCACGTTGTCTGCAAGATTGTGCGCATGCTCAAGGAACAAATCTTTTAGTACACTTAATTCCTTAGTCAGCAGTTTGATTTTTGCCTCCAATCGTTCATTCTCTTCTTTGAGCTGATTCACTCTCTGCAGTGTATCTTGTGCTTTCTGCTTGCTTTTCAACCGGCTCTTTTTCACAGCCATGTTGTTCCTCTCTCTGCGCTGACGATACTCATCACTGTTTCGATCCATGGGTGAACTCTTTTTGCTTTGCTTGCTTGGAGGTACAGCCTTACCTCCTCCCCCGGGGCCAGCGGGTACCAGCTGAGGAACCTGCTGTAAGCCGCTGGCATGAGCTGGAGTGTGAATAACACTTATCCCGTTCACTCCTGGAGTACTGTTCTGCTGCGGTATCTTGCTCATTTGGGCACTCTTCCTTGCCAACACAGAAGAGGCAGAAATGAGGGCAAGGTGATCAATTGTTTCCACTCTACACTGCCAAATCTTCACATGTACCTAGTTAAAGAATAAATTGCATTAAAAATTTGAAATGACAAGATCAAATGAGATTAAACTTGCATGTACCTAACAGCAAGCCAACATTATTTGATTATGCTGAGAAAAGTCTACAGGAATTGTCAACTGTTCCAATGTTTCAGAAGTCTAAACCATTTAACTGAGAAAGGTAAGTTAGTACAGAAGCACCATAAGGCCAAATTCAGCCCACCTGAATCCCTGAGGGTATTGCCCATCTGTGATTGTTTTTAAAAATGGGAGGAAAACACATGAATATCCCTAATTAGGCAGCACACGGAATATTACTTGGCAATCTGCCAGAAAGAAATTTGAGATGTTTGGTTTAATCAGGGAACAGCTGAGTTTAATTATGATAGAAGAGACACCTGCAATAAAAGGAGAAACAAGTTTGAATTGTTGGTTGAAATCGTAAGGAACGCTGCAGCAGAATGCCCCAACTCCAGCATTCACCAGGAATACTGGACTATGAGAGCTGCATGTTCCTTATTCCAACATGCAGAGAGAGTGAGTCAGCAACAACTCGACTTAGTTTATGGGATGTTTTGAAAAGGTATTTGTTGGCATTTAAAAATTTTTTTGAATAACTTCAAACATTAGGAGCTTACAGAGATTTCCTAAGTTCATTTCTTGGATCAAAGATTTAGGAGCTCTGAGAAACCCAATTTGCTTCCTCACCCCACCATACTTTTAATAGTGTTTTTTTTTCCTCTTCTTGACCTAATTTAAAAACACATCTAAACATGGTCAAACTAAAACCACAAGAAAAGAAACAAAAGCTCTAATGCATCCAGGAAGTGCAGGTAGTGGGACTCAGGCTAGATAGAATGGAGCAGAGGCAGTGCCTGCACCCACAGCACTGCTGCAGAGCTCAGAGCACACGCCAACTCTGCAACACCTGTAGTGCTGCCTGTATAAAATGAAGTCACAGTTTCAAAAACTAGTCATATTTGGATTACTACAAATTCAACTAGGTCACTACAACTGCCTCAAGACGTGTCAGAAACCATACCTGTCCTATTATTGTAAAGTCACTTCAAGACAAACTGGCTGAGTGAACTGTGTCCACCAAGAAGTCATAGCATTCCTAAAAATTTAGAAAGCAGTGTTATGAACCATAAAACTATCCTGTTATCTTTTCACAAAACTGCTAAAACTACATCATGGAAAAACCTGAAGCCAGAATTATGAAATGCCTCAAATGAGTATATCTCAAAAAGCTCAGTTAGTAAACACCAGTAGCTTTACCCAAACCTTTAGCCAGGCATTTCAGTATAAACACTGTCTATACATCTGATTTTTAAAATATTTACTTTTAAAAAATTCATATTCCCTTTGGTTTTTGGCTTGGAGGAGGTCTAAGTGCAACTTTCTTCAGTCATCCGAGACCTGGATAAACCCAGCACCAGCCATCTCCCCCATGCCTCCAAAGTTCAGCCCCTACAAGACCAGTCATATCCTTGAGTTGCACTGTGTGGGGAAGTCAGTGCCATGTCTGCCCTGGCCCCCAAGATCAGTCTCCAAAAAAGGTTGGTGATGGCATCACCAAAGCAACCGGTGATTAGAAGGATCTGAGGATTACAGTGAAGGTGACCATTCAGAAGACAGATCCACACTGAGGTAGTACTTTGTGCATCTGCCTGATCATCAAAGCCTTCAAAGAACCACCGAAAGACAGAAAGAACCAAATAAACATTAAGCATAGTGGAAATACCACTTTTGATGAGCCTGTCAACATTGTCCAACAAATATAGCACCAATCTTTAAGTAGAGAACTCTCTGGAGCCATTAAAGAGATCCTGGGGACCACTCCACTTGTGGGCTGCAATGCTGATGGCTGCCACATTCATGACATCATAGATGACATCAACAGAGGTACAATGGAATATTTAGCTAGTTAAGGGTCCTGGCTGGTATGGCTCAGTGGATTGAGTGCCAGCCTGCAAACCAAAGGGTTGCTGGTTCAATTCCCATTCTAGGGCACATGCCTGGGTTACAGGCCAGGTCCCCAGTGGGGGGACGTGCAAGAGGCAACCACACATTGATATTCTCTCCCTCTCTTTCTCCCTCCCTTCCCCTAAAAATAAATAAATAAAATCTTAAAAAAAAAAAAAAGAACTACAAAGGAAGGCCCTGGCTGGGTAGCTCAGTTGGTTAGAGCACTGTCCCAATATGCCAAAGTTGTGGGTTCAATCCCCAGTCAGGGCACATGCAACAATCAACCAATAAACACATCAATAAGTGGAACAAAAAATTGATGTTTTTTTTCTCTCTCTCTCCCTTTCCCTCAAATTAACAAAATAACTACAAAGGAAAATATTTCAATTAAAGATCATTTGACAACCAAATTTCTTTTATATCATTACTTCCAACTGTTTTTTAAGCCACGCAGGCAGCCTTGAGCTAGTTGGTCATGTTTCACTCCAGTACTAAGGCAAGATATAAAGCTTCCTTCCAAACCATGTGGGACATCTACTCCAAGTCTATTTTCAGTAATGGACACTTGACAATTTCCCTAGATAATTATTTGGTATAAAGTGAACATAAATGTTTTACTCAAATTTTTAAAGATTTTATTTTTTAGAGAGAGGGGAAGGGAAGGAGAGAAACATTGACATGTGGTTGACTCTTTCGCACCAACTGGGGACCTGGCCAGCAACCCAGGCATTTGCCCTAACTGGGAATTGAACCAACGACCCATTGGTTTGCAGGCTGATGCTCAATCTACTGAGCCATACCAGCCAGGACTGTTTTACTCAACTTTTAATAACTCATTTAACACCTCTGCTGGGATAATCTCAACAGTCATAATCATCTTATTTACTAGGATCATCTCAACTATCATAATCATCTTATTTTTTTACTTTTCATACACCACTTATATTTTTAGTCTTTAAAGCTAATCTCTACAGTCAACTCAGCAACAACAATGGAGAATGTAGAATAATAAGATGCCTTCCTACTGACAATATACCATGAACTGCAATCACTAAACTCTTATTAAAGGCTCCAAACTCTGTGACACTCATGTCCATTTTTGTAGCCAAAGATAGGAAAGGGCTCTTCTACCTCAGTCTGTCTCATCTTGCCAAGCAAGATACTAGGCGAATAGGCCAGGTTTTGAAAATGAGCCTTTTAGCTTGAAAAACAAAAAATAATCATCAAACTGGTAAAACTATAAGAAAGGAAAAATTGGTAATAAAAAGAACTCCAAAAATGTTTTTTTAAAAAAAGTCTTCAGTCAAAGACAAGCCAAGAAAGTGGCTTCTAAAATGAAGAGATAATTCACCCCAGCAAGGATGGCTCAGTTGGCTGGGGCATCTTTCCATACACCAAAAGGTACAGTTTCAATTCCCAGTCAAGGTATGTACAGGAGATAGTCAACATTTGTCTCTCAACATCTCTCAGACAGAGATGTCTGTCTCCACCTCTCTCCCCACCCCCCTTTCCTCTCTTTCTAAAATCAGTAATATAAAAAAGAAACTATATCCTTGGGTGAAGATTAGTATGTAAACAAATAAAGAGGAAAAAATATCCATTAAGGAAAATGAACCAAGTAAAGGGAGTCAAAGAGCATAATAATCTTAAAGCCTTAACTCCAAACAGATTATCAATTTTGTTTTTATACTCAGCAAATAGCTGCCTCCAAAATTTATACATTTTACAGTTTACAGTGTCACTTGTGCTTTTGTTCCTTCCACAAACATGTGAGCACCTACAATGAGAAAAAAAATAAGTTTATTTCAAATGTGGATATTGAACCCTAAATGAAAGTCTGGCTCCTATGTGGACAAATTCTATTCCAAAGTTCAGTCTACAGGAAACAGGGTGGTGCCTTGTTTCCTTGCATGTGAATCATTCAAGCAGGAAGCAGTAGAAAAACTGAAGGGCAACAGTGCTCAAAGCATGGTCCTTGGACCAGCGACATCATCGTTTGGGAACTTGTTGGAATTCTCAAGCCACACCAGATCTAGGAATCAGAAGCCCTAGGAGTAGGTATGAGCAATCTTGTTTTAATATGACCTCCAAGTGATTCTGTTAACACTGAAGTTAGAAAGCCACTACTAAAGATAACAATGGATCTTTAAAAGAACTGAGTAGGTTACATTTTTTAAATTCAGATTTCTTAATTAAAGTAATGTTCATTCATATCAGTAACACACTGAAAACTCAGTGTTAGAATGACTAAAACAAAAATAAAAATTTTTTATTTAGGAAAATAATAAACCTGTCAAGAATTTTCCTAACTCTTGTCACTTTTTTGCCCATATACATACAACCAGATATTCCTCCCTGGTCCTCCAAAACAAATTTTTTACTCAAATTTCCTCAGTAAAAGTCTATACACCAAAATATTTATAGATGTTTCTCCCTTGCTTCAAATCTGTTCAATCATTGATATGTGACAATTCTACCCCACCCCAGAAAAATACTACATCTACCATACCTCTCTTTCCCAGTGTCACAGAATTACCTCAGGCTGACATCATCTCTCAGGGGCACCAGTCTCCTCTGGTTAGCAGTGTTCTCTCCAACCACTGTCTCTAGAGCAATCTAACACTCAAACCTGAGTGTGTCACACACCTTCCTGTTCAAAATTCTTCTGTGGCTCCCACAAACAGCATCAAATTAACACTCCCTCTAGCCCCTGTCCCCTTACACTTCACACCTCAACAATACCGAACCATCATAGGTCCTCTAAATCCACACCTCTAGGTCCATGCTTTCTCTTTAGTTTGTGCTTCTGTCCAATTCGTTGACCAGTTTTCTTTGTCAATGTCAGCTCCACAGTGTCTCTCTCTGTAGACTATTCTAGAGACCTAGAGGCAGCACTCTGTCTTCATTTCATCTCCACATGCCCAGCATTGGGTGCTGGGCTAGGTATATATAGTGGTGGTGCCCAAGAAATATTTGTTCAATACAGTCTCAAAAGGCTAAGAGAAAACATGTTTTAATAAATGTATTACATAAAAATGAAATACTTTAGCATTACAATCTGTTAAAACAACTGCAATTAAATCAAGAGTATTACTAAGAGATCATGGTCTTATTACCTAAACTTCAGTGTCTTTCTTAAAGGTGTATAGGAAAATAAAAGTCCCCAGTCTATACAGTGAACATCATTCTTGTCTGGTCTTTGTTCCATTTCAGTTAAGAAGCTTTATTTTCTATTTAGTCCCACTGTTTTCGAATTAGTAACCTCAAGTTCTTAGGCATGTATTGCCAGGGTCTGATAACTCTGTACTACAAGTGAAGTCAAGGTAAGCAGTCAAAGCCAATACACACCCAAAAGAGCAGTTATTACTATTCAGTTGTACTGCTTGCTTCATGATCCAAAACAGGGGTCCATGAAGAAGGGTATATACCTTTGGTAAGTACATAAATATAAGAAGGAAATGTATGTACATTTATCTTTTTTAAAAGTAACTTTAAAATCCACTTTTGGTTTGATTTACAACCTATACAATAAATAGTACACACACATTGTTTATAAATATACATCTATTAGATCATGTAAATTTTTTTTTAACTGATATGACTGGAAGGCCTAAAAGGTAGGAGACCAATGTACCTTACCTACTAGTATAAGATATCAATACAAGGACCCATGAAGCCATCCCCTCTCAAGAATACACAATAAACCTGGAATTGTGCCTACCTACATTTATCATTACTGTGATCAGATGAGACAATTTAGACTTTAAGCCTAAATTCAGCCCCCATGAGATCCTATTTGTCTTTATCAAGCACTACCATGTGCTGTTAAAATCCCTAGGGAGGAAACCACCTCTCCCTGATCAGGTAACCTTGCTGGTGTTCTTGTGAATTTAATGGATAGTTTGAAACAAAATAAAGTTTTGTTTCAATGTTTTTAAGGCAGGTATTAAAAATGACTGAATCAGCCAAGTATGTCCACAAGAAGCAAGTGTCAAGAAATTGACAAATTCTTCTGCTCACCAGCATCCTATAATTATTTAACCTTGTTTACAGTAAATTCTTCCAGAAACAAAGAATCAACTTTAAGAATAGCTTATCCCAAATACCACTCAACTGGTAATAGCTGACCAGATTTTAACTTTTAAATATCAAAAATTTGGATGCAGAATTTCTAAGTATGGAAAGCCCTTACAGTATTTTACTTCTAAAACATCTTTGGTAGTCACATGTCCTATTTAAATTAAAGAACAGGCTCTCCAAATGATTCGAGTGAGTGTAGTAGGCTCAAACTGAACTACCAATTTTTGTGCAACCCCTAATAAAAGTGACACATTTTAAGATGCCAGATTAAGCATAATCCTCAGACAAGAACCAAACACTTAAACCTTCTGAAGAAAAACATGCAAGCTTACTTAGAAAAACAAGTTACCCTTCCCCTCAAACCTGCATTCCCATCCTCTCCATCTAAGATACCTCTGCCAGCTGTTTTCCTACTGTTCCCCCCACCATGCTAACGAAGCACTTCGTTTCTTGCCTCTTTTCTATTCAACTCGTGGTTGCTGCACCATCTCACCTATGTAAACTGCAGGGTATTCAAACTACAGCTTCATAAATTACATAATAGTATTTCTGTAAAGTCGCGTCTTTAAATATCAAGTGCTATCCCTGACTACCACTTTATTGACTTAACAGAATTCTCGGCGACCCCACAATGAGCAATTTTGGAGAAGTAGGAAATATCCGATGTGGCACTAAAATAAGATACGGTTCACCTCCTGTTATCCTGGGAACACCCTTTATCCCCAGGGGCCAATACGAGCCCGGCTTGTCAGAACTGCACACTTCTGAGGGCTGGGTTTTGGAGTGGGTGCATCTCGCCTTCCAGCCCGTCCCTGGCCCGCTGTGAGGGGCGCCCGGGGGAGCGCAGGGGTCGGCAGGCGGCGCCGGGGCTCTGGGCCGCAGCCAGGGATGAGCTCAGCGGCCCCGCGGGGTGTTGCCGGCAGGTTGCATCAGACGCCGCGCGGGGCCGCCGCCTGCGACGCCGGCTGCGCGGGGCCTTCCCGACCAACCGGCCTCCGCGGGCCGCGCCGAGTCTCCTCGGGCTGGGCCCGCGCCCACGCGAGCGGCGGGCTCCACCGCGGCCTTCTCCTCCTCCAGCCCGCCCGCACGTCCGGAGCCTCCTTACCTGCACCTCCAGCCCGCCCGCCCCCAGGCGGCCTGCTCTCCGAGCGGCCCCGCACGGCGCGGCCGACCCGACCCAGTTCTCGCAGTTCGCGAGTCAGCTAGGAGGAGCGACGTTACGAAATCGGCAGCCTCCGACCGTTCCTCAGCCACCGGCTTCCCCTCCTCGCCCCAGCCGCGCGCGCTACCACCGCCGCAAGACCAATGGGAGCGCCGACCTGCGAGCGACACGCCCTCCTCTCGCAATAGGCAGCACTGCCGACCAATCGCGAGCGGTCTGGCTGGGGAGGCGGGCACGTGGCGGAGGCGTTACCCTCGGCGCCGCAAGGCTAGCGGGCGTGGTGGGTGAAGATAATCACCCGGGACTCTCCCTGTGGTCCCACCGTTGTTAGCACTCGGTGGCTGCCAGCTGTGGGTCCCAGCTGTGAGAAAAGGTCTGTGGAAGTTGGAGAAGCGTAGCTTTGTGAAGGCAGCATTGTCTTCGGAAAGCACAGTGTCGTGAGGTGATGGATAGAATCACGAAGTTCTGTTTCGGTTCCACCACGTCCTCGGGGCTTCCCCCGCTCTCAGCGACAGTCTTCCAGAACGACCTACCAGACTTGGCATCCCGGGAGGTGGGGCACCGCGAACTCGGATGAAACCTGGAGTGAAGTCCTGGGCCTCACGGCAGTGAAGAAAACTGCAGACTTGTTGAAAATGAATACAGCAAAATTGCCCCAGGGAAGAATTAGTGTTGATATCACATTGGTAACACTGCAGATTGTGGTTCGTTGTTCGGAAAAACGAATTGACCTTCCACGAGCGACTTCAGTGTGATGTCTTCCAGGTGAACAGATTAATAAGAGATGTGATCTTCAAAGAAAATACATGGCAACCCAGGTTTATCAAAGTCTCACAGGAGGATCTGAAAGCATCTTAAAACCAGGAAGTCGCATGTTGGGTGGAGGACAGCCATTCGCGATAGGTTTGATTGCTTCCTCTTTAGCAATTCTTATCTCCAAAAAATAGTCTTTGAAAGAGGAAACATTTCTTCATCGCCAAGGCCATGGTAATGCCAACACTTCTCTGCTTAAGACTGTTTCGAGGAATCAGGAAAGAGATGATAAAACATTTTCAAAAATAAAGGTAAATAAAAATAAAAGGGCTGCAATTAAAGATAAACAATTATAACCATAAAAGCACACTTGGTAGAATGACACATCATCAAAACCAGTATATGTCTTTCATTTTGGCCTTTAGTATTGAGTTGAAAATTCTTTGATCAAGATTTTAGCACTGTTAAAGTTAGACTATATTTTGTTACAGAATCATAATTTTACCCTGACCATTTCCTAATCGCTTAAGGATCGCATAGGTGTATTCATTTCTCCTTTGGTTTGCTAGCCACTCTGCTGAACTGGCCCAGCATTCTCTCTGTGTCTGCCTGGGCAGGCATTCTTCCACACTCAGCAGGTCTAGTCAATGCCAAGGAGACAAAAGTATTTACATTTCAGCTGGTAATTTTTCTGCTCAGTTTACAAAAATTATTTTTTTTTTTGGTGCCAGCTATGTGCTAAGCTGTGAGGATTTTGCAACAACAAGATAAACACAGTCCCTGCCCACATGGAGTTTACACTTGGAGCCAGCAAGACAGACGTTCAGTAATTACACAATTTTTCTGTTACTATACTATAAGAAGTACAAGATTCTGTGAGAGATTTTAAGAAGGGAATCAAACCTGGCCTGTGGCTTAGGGAAAGCCTACAAAATTAATACAATTTGGTGAGGTGACACAGATGAAGTGGATGTGCCAGGCAGAGGGAAAGTCTTATCGGAGAGCCTTGTGATGGTAGAAAATTAAGGCCAGGGTGGCTGAAACTCAGTGTGCCAGTGGAGAGTGATGAGAAAGACAGGGCCTATGGCCCAAGACAGTTTCTCATTTTAGTCTAAGAGAGATGGGAAACCTCTGAAAGACTTGTTCTCACCATAGGGAAATGATGAAAGCCTGGTGGAAGCTCTGTTTCTCGGATGAGGAAAGATATATATACCATGTTGCTTTCTTACGAGTCACAGGGACCCAAGCCATCATAAAGTTTTCCTGCATAGATCTCTGCCTCACTAATACCAATATTGTCCACATTCTACAAATCCAAAGAATTTGTAAACAAGCAGTACAATAAAATTCTGTCCAAAGGACTTGAGAAGTAGGATGTCCTGTTAGTTGAATATGCTAGTTATCTGAGAGCTGCTATGATTAACTACCTTATTTACCTAAAATATATGGCCTCTAGTGTCAGCCTGTTATGTCCACAGCTTCACCCCTTACTGGTTGTATGACCTAAAACAAATTACTTGACCTCTCTTTCACCTGTAAGGGGGGATAACAATTTAACAGGATTACTGTGAAGACTGAAGGAGTTAATGTTAGGCCCTACAAGAGTACCTGCCTACTACATGGTAGGAGATTAAAAGTATTAACTATTATCATCATGCTCACATGTGAATTATAAACAAATTATAACCTAGAATTAAGTAAACTGAAACTTAAGTACACTTCCAAACAAGGTCAAGCTGTCCTTAATATTGCCTTGATGATTCAGGCACTGAAATATACATCATGTTGAAGATGTTGATATGGACCCTGTAGTGTATCCCAAAAGGTGTTAGAATAGTTTCCTTAGTTGCCACATCTTATCATTTATTTCACATAGAGTGGAGGAAAAATTTTGTAATTTGAAATCTCTTGTTTGAAAGCCAGATCAATAGAAGTTTATTATGCAAATTTAACTATCTCCAGTGTATCTTAAGTATCTATAATAATGCTTAAGTATTTAGCATAAATTTCAGAAAAATTAATATACCAAATTAACCACTTTCACAGGAGATCTGAAATATATCTATAAAATTTTGATAGTTAAGATATCTGTCAGGTTTGGATCTTAGTAGATATTTATTGTGGTATATTAGCAACATGTAATATGGCAGTGATTGTGAGTCATTCTGTGTTGGTTAGGGCACTTTTGACTGGAAGTAACTGAAAGCCATCCCTGACTAGACTTAATATAAAGAAGGAGTTGGTCAAAAACTTGAAGGCACTCTTCGCAAAATACCCAGGCTATATCAGAACCAAGAACTCAAATGCTCAAGTGCCTTCATGTTCATGTATGTGTGTGTGTATTGTTTTCATTATTCTTTCTGCCTGCACACAAACTTTCTTCACATTACCTCAGTGTTCATAGTTTTAGTGACTAAAGAAAAACCAACTCTCTTTTTAGTTCCTATTACATAGTCCCTAGGCAAAGGCTCTGGGATTGGCCCAACTGGATTAAGTGCTCATACCAGGAATGATCGAATGGCCATGAACATGTCATGATGTACTAACATGGCAGCTATGGATGGTATGGCTGAGGCAGTCCCCAGAAAAGGGGGTGCTAAGCAGACAAATCCATCAATATTCATTTTAAATGTCAGATCACACTGTAGTCACTCTAATGGATCCTTAGTCACATCAATCTTCTGACTGATTTGTTCTTTCCCGTGTGATATGATTCCCATCCTTGAGGGGAATACTTAAACCTCGTTTTACATTTGGAAGCACTATTAGAATTGTGATAGCTATGATGCTAAATGGTTGTCTTAGGACACCCCCAAATTTCATGAGTCCTATGCATTAAAGAGAAAGATCTGACATTGTTTAAATTTACTGTGAATGTCCATCATAAAACACTTTTCCACATATCAGGTTTTGTGATCCCATACCATCTATGCACTTAAGAATAATAACAGTATTATACAAGACATCTGTACACACAAAGATAGGTATATGCCATGTGAGCATATGAAGATAGGTATAGCCCATCTTCACTCATGAGAAGAGCTGTATGCATCTGTGTACATAAGACTAAATGCCTATAGTCTGTGCATATAAGGATAGGTACATGTCATCTGTGCACATACGAGGGACACGGCATCTATGCAGATCAGGAATGGTAGTCTGTATCTTTTGTGGGCCCAAGAGGGTCTTATTCTTATATCTTCACTCCACTGAATAAGCAGTGATTACCTGTTACAGAATTATTGTAATTTAAATTACTGCAGTATCTATGAATCACAAAACAGACGATAAATGATGGTGGTGTTTGGTTTTTTTTGGTTTGTTTATTTGTGGTATATGCAATACCAGTCTCCATCAAGGTAACATGATGAGCAATGGAGGCAGAACTGGCAGATGTTGGCTGGCATGTAACCTAACTAAACCTCTGTTCCTGTACAGAGAGTTGACCTCATGGAGTTGTTATGAGTATTATATAAACTGACATGGAAAAAAAGCTAACATAGTGTCTGGCACATAGGAGGCACAAAATAATTTGTCTACCCAAAAAGAATTGGCTACCTAGGACTCAGTTCTTGGTTTTTAATACCATTCTCCAGTAAAAGGAACTGGGCTCCTTGGGGAAATGGCTGATTCTAGGATTGAGGCAGAAAATACACAAGGTGAGCCTGGAGCATTTTGCAGTGCCAGAAAATAAGGAAGTATGCTCAGAAAGCAAAACAGTGAGGGTCTGTGTCTCAACTCAGGCTGCCTTAACAAAATATCATAAACTGGTTGACTCTGACAACAGAAATTTCTTACAGTTCTAGATGCTGGCAAGTCCAAGATTAAGTGCAAGCAAGGTAGATTTTATTCTTAGGCTTCTTCTCTTGGTTTGTAGGTAGCTGCCATTCACTATGTGTTCTCATGGCCTCTTCAGGAGAAAGAGAGCAAGCTCTCTGGTGTCTTCTTATAGGGGCACTAATCCCATCATTACAGGGCCTCATGAACTCATCTAACCTTAACAAAGTCACCATTTTTAAAATACCATAATATTTGGGATTAAGGCTTCAACATATGAATGTGGGGGTAGGGGGGCAGACACAAACCTTCAGTCTATAATAATATGTGAAAAGGTCACAGGGGCCAAATGAAAGAGCTCCCAGTGCCCAGTGAGTCCCAATGTGAGTGGCAAAATAAATAATGTAATATTGGATTATAACACAAGGTATCAGATAAATACCAGTGAGTCCATGCTGATATAAATAAATAATTGAGTAAATAAATGTCAGAGAAGAGACAAATCTCTCATGCAGAAGAATTCAAAATAATTTCAGTAGACACTCCATTCTCAGATGGGAAAATGTAACTCCCCACTTTCTTAAGTGTGGGCTGCACATAGTGGCTTCTTTCTGAAGAGCATGAAAGGGAGAAAAACCTGACAAACACTACTACAGCCAGGTGTTCAA